TAGCACAGGAGTCGTGCTCCTAACACCACTTTATCCTACCTTACATGGGGCTGCTATACATAATTCAGAGATTTCAGGGAGGATGCAAGATTTAATGTATTTAAAACACTTTGCCCAGTATCTGACACATAATAAGCACTCACTTTGTGTTAGTATAAGCTTAGTTATCAGAGGACACAGAAAGGGAGATTTCAAGGTATTTTGATGTATTAGTCTTTAACTATGGTGTTTATTTGTCATATCTGGCTGTCTTGGAAGGGAGCCCCTGCTTCCCCCACTGCCCCCCACCCCCAACACATGCTTCTTCCAAGCTGTGTAATTGGACGAGGAAGCCAACTTTTTCTGATTAAAGCAGGGGTGAAGATGGACTTTAAATGCAAATGGCCTGAGATGATTCAGAAGCCATAAACAATAAGAAGAGGACGTACATAATGGCTATGTCCTCATTCCTCCTTCTTCACTTCCATCTTAGGCTGAGAATGCAAAAGGGAACAAAGTTGGAGTCCGATCGCATTTTGTTTCAAAATCACATTGCCTCTGTCAACTGAAGATACTGAACGAGGAGGCAGCTTAAGGCTCTTCCTTCCCCTTGTGGGTGAGGTAGATTCAGAGGGAAAACACTGTCCCTGGAACTTTCTAAATGCCCATTTCATTTGATAACCAGCAAGATTTAATATATATTTTTAATATATTTTATATATTATTTTAAGTATTTATATCATATACAGTTATATATATTAGATCTTGCAGGTTATCAAGTGAAATGGGCATATATATTTCATATATATGTCCTCCCCAACCAAGAGATTTTAAAGGAAGGAGGAAGATGGGGCTTTACATCCTAAATCACCAGAAAGTGCCTCCAGGGTTGCAGTGGGAGAAGCCAAGATGCAGCAGCCTCAGAAGGGATCTACCAGTTCATGTAGGAGTCCCTGACCTTGGACAGGTCAGGAATATGACCTGAGTTTGACCCTGAGCTTTGCAGAAGAAAAAATTCAGATTTTTCCAGAATGATCGGGAGGCTCTGGGAGAACTGACAGATGTTGAGTATTGGAAACAATGTAGACTAGTCAGTTATTTCAATGCTTTCTAGAGATGGGAGCTTGACAGGAGCCTGACAGAAACTTGAATAGTCTCACCTCTGGAGAATATTTTTAAAGTATTTACACATTCTTAGAGTTGAGATTACTTAATGAAGTATTCTATTTAAATGTTAAACATTTTTCCAGTTTGGACACTTACTGGACATGTGCCTTTAAGAAAGTTAACTTATTCTCTGAGCCTCAGTTTTGTCATCTATGAAATGGACATAATGTGTATATGGTATGTCTCATAGAGTTGTTGAGAGAATACATGCAAAGCATTAGCAAATGGTAGCTGGTTGTAGTAACATCTCAGTAAACAGTAACATATGGTTATTATAAATTTTGTGCTTATTTCAAATTGAAGCTTCTGGAAAATAATTTTATGTTCAGCCTCCCTCCCTGTAACCTTGGAGA